TGCTGCTGGGGCCTCCAAGCCTAAGGCAGAGCTGGCTAGTTGCTCCCCTAACTGGGTGGCATGCTGAAGTGGGTTTAGGAAAAAGCAGCATTCAGTTTTTGTCACACAGCTCCATATTTGTCAGATGAGAACCTCTTTTGCTCTCTCTGCACTGGGAGCACATGCGACCTAATGTGCTGACCAGAGCCTGTAGCCAGATGTCTTGAGACAGGAGAGGGAACTGGGGTAAAGACCCCCCCAGGAAAGCGCCTCAGAAGGCATAGGATGGGAAAGGGTAGCAGGGGGATTCAGAGCCTCAGAAAGCAGAGAATCAGATCCATTGCTGATAGCAATCTTGCACTCCAAAAGGCATGACCAAGATACAGCCTAAAGCAGCCTGGCCATCATGGTGCCCCACACATTGTGTTGTGCTTTTGGAACATTCTTGTCTTCAGTTGGTCCTGAGAACCTGGGGCTGGTGGCTGATCAGTAAGAGCCATTCCCAGGTTTCAGGTAGTGAAATTGTCTCCACCTTAAGTCAGGTTCCTTAGGCCAAACCCCATGCCATTCACGACACAGTCACTTCTCTACCTGACCACAGGGACATGGCACAGGTCCTTTCTCCTGAAGGTCAAGGCTTCCCATGACTCAAGAAAGGAGGGCTGCTCCCCAGAGTTGTAGCAGAGTCCAGAACTCTTCCTGCAGTTGGCAGATGGTCACAGCAACTACAGGCCAGATTTATGTCACTGAGGATCTGTCCTCCTCCTAAGTAAACTCCCTGGTCACTGGATCAGAGTACGGGAAAGAGCTTGTGCTGTGGAAGACTGGGCACATTGCTGTGATGTGAGGTGACAATTACATGAGGCACTTGGGAAGAGACTAGTGATGTGGCAGGATATATGTATGAAGACACGAGCACACATGCTGAGTGTTCACATGTAGCTGTAAGTTCATTTGTGCATGCGATTGCATGATTCGGGTGAATGTAGAGCACATAGATCTGTGTATGTGTAATTCTCATGTATGCACAGACAAGAGCTTGCTGTACATGTGTACATGCATGTACACATTTACCAAGGGCCTTCCCCCACCGTTGTGGCTCCTGCCCAGGTTCCATGCATGCGTGCTTCAGCTTCCCTTTGACCAGCATGTTAGGAAGAACCCCGCATTCTTTTTGAGCATCATCTCCAACATAGCATCCTGCTGCTACTCCATCCTGAAGGTCAAGAATGCAGGTACGTGGATGGACCAGGACCAGAATTCTTGAGCAGGGGGTGGATATCCTGCACTCATTCAGGAGTTAGTGTAGCCAACTGTCATTCCTGGGCCTAGGTCCTAGCAGACCAGAAGGGTGTTGAAAGTGCCTTTGGAGGGCATGAGGGTCTGTGGCCAACTGGATTCTTTAGCCTCCATCTGCTCCCCCAGGAATGACACTAAAGGCCAAGGGTGCCTCTGGCTCATTTCCTCCTGAAGCTGCACGTTGGCTCTGCTACCGAGCCTTCCTGCTCAAGCTGGCTGGTCATTCTGTCACCTACAAGTGTCTCCTGGGACCACTCAGGACAGGTAAATGAGCTCCCTCCAAATAGCCCCAAAAATCTATCCTTGGACACCAAGTGCCTAGCCCATCTCCATTTGCCTGAGGAGGAGCCCACTCAGGCAGCTCTGGGTGAGTGAAGCTAGGCTTCTAGACCACAACTTCCTACTTCTGCCTTCCTGCTCCCTCTGATCTCTCCCTGGTCCCTTCACCTCCTCTGGTCTGCTGCTTCCTAGATTCAGGGAGAGATCCTCAGGTTTCTTTCTGTGTTGCTTCTGTTTCCATGTTGTCATTCTTGAGGTCCTTGTGAGCCCACGGTGGTGGTGGTGGTGGTGGTGGTGGTGTGTTCATGGGTGGGGAGGAACACATGGCCAGGACTTGACCTCATCTCTTTGGAATGAAAATTGACTACATCCTCTGTTGCAGCCCAAAACCAGCTGTGCCGGAAGCTCCCAAGGGCAACAATGGCCATCCTTGAGGCTGCAGCTGACCCAGCCCTGAGCACAGACTTTCAGACCATTTTGGACTAACCCCGCCCCTTCAGCTGGATGAACATGGGCATTGTAGCCTCACCACTCCTGGGTGCATGTCACAAGAGGGACAGACCTATTGTGAGGCCAGTTTGTCCCTGTGCTATGTTTCCTGTGGTGGGCTTGATTTCCTTCCTGATGCTCTCCGGGGAAGCAGCTCCCACCCCTATTAGTGGCAGGGATCAACTAGCCACCAACACCACACAGAGGTAGAAGACACATGGGCACTGGGGCAGTGTGGACAGATGTGAGATGCCTGGCCCTTGTGTCTTGTCACATCTAACCATGGAGTCTTTCCCAATGGGGTCAGAGTGTCTCAGAGAT